TATATATACCTGTATATATATGCTCTCATTACATATATGAGATCTTTACAACAAGATCTCATTTGTTAACAACAGTTAATGCATCAGCACAAACTTACAAAATAAGGAGCAAAATATTTTACACCACTTATTAACCTTAGTTAATGTTAGTTAACAAAAAATTGTAACGTTCATGTTCACAGTGCATTAACTAATGTTAATAGATCTCAAAATGTTTTAGTAAATGTTGAGATTAACATTATCTAAGGTTAATAAATTGTATATGTTAACTAATGTTAACTGCAGTACGTTAAAGTTGTAAGGCAAAGTGCTGCCCACAAAACACATGAATGAAGCATCATTACTTTTTTTGTTGTTGTACAAAACAATGTAGGCTAACTCTTCTCAATTTTGAGAAAGTTACACATGTACTGTGCAAATAGAAGATAACAGTAAATGTGCTGCATATGCTGTCAGAATTATTGTATAAATGAGTTGTCATCTTGGAAGTTGCAGTTATAAAACTGTAATAATATTCAGGAAAGTTATTATTATTATTATGAAATAAAATTAGCGCTGCAGTTTCAGTAATATACATTTATGTATATCTGTAACTGTTTGTATATTGTGCATTTTTATAGAACAATAAGACAGCACATATTGCACAAAATTCCATTATTATCTTTCATGTTTCTTAATCTCTCCAGCCATAACGCGCTTGAATGTGACATAGCCATTCTTCCAGCAAACATGTGAAGGCACCAATATTCCACAATCCAGAGGTACACGTTCATCAATACCTTGAATTCATGTTGTCGTAAAAAAAACAATAAAGGAGACAGGTACACAGAATAAGGTCTAATGCTGCGTTCAAGTCCTCCTGGGACGTTCGTACTTACGAGTTGACAAGTCGTAATTATGACGTCAGGTGCGTTCAAGTCAGTTTAGTCGGCACAAGATGGCGGTGTACCTTCTTTTAATAAATTACAAAAAAATACAACAGGGTCTGCATTTTTTTCCTTGGATTTCATTAACTAGCTGCGTAACAAGAACATGACCAATTTAAGTTTATAGGACAACTAAACTATCAATTTAAACAAAAATTTACCGTCAACTACAGACGTTGCATCCATCGATTCCGCCATGTTTCTCATTGACACGCCCCCAACTCGGAAACTCGTGGCTTAAAGAAAATTTCGAGTTTCCCACTCGTAATAACAACTTTGTGGTGGCGTTCATGTGCGTTCAACTCGTAAATACGATCTATCCGACATGACTTGAACGCACCATATGTTAAAAACCTATGGTGGTTTGATTGCAACATTGCACACTCAGTGTTTAAAAAGACTTGCATTTCCCATTTCAATCTCTTCTCTTCATGCTGATACTTTCATGCTACAGGTTTGGCACTTATCACTTCATAAGACAATACACAAAACTTTAAAGTATGCATATTGATGTTGGTCCATTCAGCTATGGTTTCTGCCATCAAAAGTTTCTAAATTAATCTAGTATTCTCAGCGAAGCTGTATGGGGGCCACAGTCAGTCAGACCAGAAAAAGCACAAGCTCAGAATAGACACCCTGAGAAACAAACAAACAAAATCTTTCTCTGAATACACTATAGTATAGTAAAGTCAATAGTGAAGCACACTCATAAGAAGACACGTGAGACTGTATCATTGCAATAAATCAGATGATGCATGGATGCATGCTGTTCTATGTTCTGTCACCATGTATGCATGCCTGTGTATTAGTGTGTGGTTTAAAGCCGTGTTATGGGTTGAGCTGTAAGGATTCTTTCCTTACTCACACAATGTTTATATACAAGTATGTGGTGTTTGCAGTAGCGCTGGAATGCACAGGCTGGTGATTCTTCAGTTTCACTGCATTCTTCACGCCATGTTGACTGACAGGGCCTCTATGTGCTATTGTAAAGAGCACGCTTTGGTAGATGGTGTCAGCAAACAGTGTGAATTCCGCTGCCTCAGATTACCCCCCTTTCTCACAGCACTTTCTCTTGGGCGCCTACCAAATCGAGGAAGTCAGCGAGCTTTTAGCCAGGAAAGGCTTTGAAACAAATTATGCTATTTAATATATCTCAACATGACCATTATCTTTTTTTAAAATAGGAGAAATGGGAGTAATACCTGTCTGTTTTAGTTCGACATCAAGTGCTTACTAAGGTATTCTGGGTAGGTTTAAGAGTCTTATGAGGTATACTAATGGAAGTATATTTGTAATCAAAAGAGCCCATTTCCAGTCTCTATGATATTCTAGCACTTATGGCTTTGATGTATTTGCCTGTTTTATTGTCTGCCAGATGAAAATCAAAATCTAATCACTAAGTAATAACACAACTCAAAAAGCTGCACAATTTAAGGTATCATTCATGTTTGACTCTGTTATACATTTAGAACAATTAGTTCACCCAAATTTGAAAATAGTGTCATCATTTGTTCACCGTCATGTTGTTCCAGACACTTCAAATTAAGATATTTGTAATGAAACCTGAGAGGTTTCTGTACCTTCATTGGAAGTCCAGGTTACCAAAACTTAAAAGTTCCAAAAAGCTCATGAAGGTGAATATATGAATTCATTTTACGATGTCTTTATAAGCTTTTGGAACTTTTTGGAAGTTTTAGTAACCTGGACTTTCAATAAAGGGACAGAAACCTCTCATGTTTCATTCAAAATATCCTAATTTGTACTTTGAAGATTAACTAAAGGATTGGAATATGAGTGTGAGTAAATAATGACAGAATTGTCATTTTTTTTGGGTGAACTATTCCTTTAAGCATAAGTAATAATACTTTAATTTGAATCATTTTGGCATAAGATGCTTTCAAAGAAGACGGAACTGGGGATCTGTTTCTTTTTTCACAACATCTGTGCTTTTCATTAGACTCACTGCTGAGAGTCGTTGAAAGGTAATTTGTGAAAAAGGAAAAGATGCTGAAGATTTCTGGATGATGCTCATCATTTACTATGCTAATATGCTGGTTTTGGAACATGTAGATAATATAATTAGCATTTGAAATGTATTTATAAATATGCTTTTTTTGTGTGAAGATCGGGAAAGGTACCTAGAGAAAAAAACAAAAAACAAATTTTTGTTGTAGATAATCTCTCAATAGATAATAACTTTTTTGGTGCTTACAGTATGTTTATAGAGTGCATAACTCTTTAACTGCAGTTTCAATGCTTTTCTATGTGCTGTTTCATCCATATTCACTCACATTTGAAAAAACATAGCTTTCAATGCCAGCAGTTTTTTCTCAACTATTTGTAGAATCAATAAGATACTCAGTGTAGGGTGGTTTAAAACAGCAGACAAGACAAACTCAAGAAAACCACATTACACTGACACACTGAACTGGTCCCTGAGGGAAAATAAGGTCTTTGTCTACTTAAAAGAAAGGCGAGCATTGATAATCAATAGTGAATCAATTGGAATTTTCTTAAAATGTTTGCTTTTCTTATTATAAGTAATTTATGCCTAACAAAAGTAGCTTAAAAATATAAAAATGTTCACTGAAAAAACAATTTGCTCTAACATGCCTTAAAAATGTTTCTCTTAATTTTTTTTTTCCTGTGTGATTCATTTGTTTCAACATGCGTTTTTGAAACAACAGTTATACTAGTTCATCCAACTTTCAGATTAGTTGAGGGCCAATAAACTTACATTTGACTGGACAATTTATAAAAA